CAGAGCCACCAGGCTTATCCATTTGAGAGCAAGAAGTGTATCTTGAGGTTCACTCTTGCTGCTCTTCACAAGAATACACGGAGGAAAGAGATAGGGAACTACATTATTTAAAAAAAAAAAAAACCCACACACAAACAAACAAAAAACCACCACAGCTAGCAAGGAAACAGAAAAACAAGTCTCCTTTTGTCCTCTGTGGAACTAGTACGACCTCCCCAGAGAGGTTTCAGCTGCCATGTGCTCTACAGAGAGGCAGGGAGAGAGGATGCTGCCTAGGTCAGAGGCAGCACCCAAAGATAAACTGACCTGAAAGGGCCCTTAACACGAGAGGGAACAGCTGGCTGCTGACATGACCACTAGTCCCTCTGTACAAATCCCCATGGGGAATCCTGTTAGGTTTATTCCCTGAAGCACTAGGCCTAAGGAAACAGTAAGGGTCCTCCCAGAGGAACCCTCTGCTTTTCTGCAGAGTGGACACGGACGCTGGACTGCACCTTGTACCACTGCATATCTGGTGAACATGGTCTTGCAAAGCTAAGGGGCAGCCCATATGCGACTGCCCACAGCAGATGCCAGCACAAAAGACATAACAGGAGGTTGCAAGGGAAAACCAGCCCATTAGCAACATTATCTCCTTCCTAGAGAAAGATTGAACAAACATATCACTCCTGGCTGATGTTTAAGAGCAGTTTAGACAGAGAGCCCTAGTGATGAGGATGACTCATTCTCCCTGGACAATCGAGGCCATCCTTGAAAAAAAAAATCTGTCTAAGGCAAGCCTGCCTGAAATTTAGATCAACTGGCCATTCATTCTGGTTTGCATTTCCTTCCTCTTTGCAGCAGTCTTGTCTTCTTCACCAAACCCCGTGTATTTGGGAAGATACAGCTTTTGCTTTAGCCTTTTTAGCAACTGCAGTGCTACCACTTCTTCCAACCTTTCTTCAGGGTAAAAAGGGAAAAAAAAAAAAAAAATCCAAGTTCCCATCAGTCTCTGAGATCAGTTTTGACTCTCCTTTAGACTCTGTGCAGGAGCCCAGCTCTCCCAACACTATTCCTGAGGATGCCGAGCACACTGCGCAGAGCCCTGCCCAACCTGTACTGCTCACTTGCTCCCTTTTAATAGCACGTCTGTGGAAACTGCTCTGTGGATGGGTTTCCAGCTGGCTTTGCACTTCCTGCAAAGTAGATTTTAGAGCATGGTTTCCTAACTTGTTAATCAGAATGTTGAGGACTCCAATAGCATCAACATGTTAACAATACAGTGCATTCTGTTCCACCAGACCTATCACTCTGTCGTAGCAAGGGCAGAAATATTATATTGAGAATATTTTTTTTCAAATATATCTGTTCTGGCTGTTGCTAATTTTAATTTTTCCTTAAGCACCGAAAATGTCCATTCACTGACTCCAATATTTTTTCCTTAAGCTAAAGCTAAATTCATAACTTACCCATTCCACTTGCTCACCATCCACTTGCCCTTTGCTGAAGGTGCATGTATTATTATCATCTCACTCTGCTCTCAGGCCCAGGATTGCTTCAGCTAGTTAAGACCTCAGAATGAATTTTATCTGGTCCTGTCAGTCGAAAAATCTGTAGCTTATCCAAGTAATCTGCAGTTTTTTTCCTCCAGTCTATTTGCTATTTTTCTCCGCTATTAACTACACTGCCTGGATTAACCATTTCAGAGACTGTATAATCACCTCATCCTTGTCAGCATCATCTGTTAATAATTCCCCATTCCATTAATCTGGACATCTTTTCTCTTGGGTACTTCCACTATCCCTTTTAGCTGCACCTCATTACGTATTTGGCCATATGTTTTGTCCATACTTTCTACTGCAGTTCTTTCTGTATGTCTTCAACAACCTGTGCTCATTTCTGATTTTCTGTAGGCTTCCTGTGTTTTATGTTTCCTATGTCTTAATGAAGAGCTGATGATTTAAGCAAAGTTCTCTTTACTTTACTTTCCACTGCAATGAAACAGTACATTTGATGCTACATTACTTCTAAAGGAAAAAAAAAAAAAAAGTGGATCTCAATTTCTTAAAGATTAACTTCCAATGAAGCTTTTTGATATTCATGGGGTTTTTTTCTACTTTTCTCTCATCTTCTATCCCTTGTAAGATGAAACCTTGTCATCACTCCTGTATAACCTGCCTCCTATTCCTATAACATCAAGCTAGTGCTCCCTGCTAGTCTACAGGACTATTTTCATGATTTCACAGATCTCAGTGGAGCAGTATCTTCTGCTGAATCTTTTCAAGATAAGCTGGAATGTAATAGCAGATTTTATCTAATGAATCTCATTCTTTGGATGATTCTTCTCCAGCTACTAACATTCACCTAATATTAATATTGCAGTCACATACATCTAAATGGAGGCTGTACAGAAAAGCTTTAAAAAACATATTAAGACCTCCCATTGCTGTTCTTTAACTTTGTGTTGGTATGCAGACATTGAACATACTAGATAGATTGACCCGCTGGTCTGCAAGGTCTTGAGCAAGATACTGCAAACACAAACAAAACACTGTATATGCAAAAACACATTAGACACACACACACACTCCCACATTCAGGCCCACAATAAGAAATCCCAAATACAAGCAAAAGCAACAGGAATCTACATATTAAGCAACAACGCATTTTCAATAGCTTCAGATACAGGCAATGCTACTTATTAATCTGAAGCAAAGAAGCAAGCCCACTTCAGATTAGTATTTCGGAGGAATTTTTCTCTAGGAAAAAGAAAAAAAATATATACAAAATGATATATATAACACTTATATATATATATAAAAGCCTGCAACTTATACCAGCTATATCCCCCAACTTGTCCCAGACACACAGCTGCAAATAAAACCTGCAGCCAGCAGCAGAGCTGCTCACACAAAAATATTTCTTGTTTACCCCAACCTTTGAGAGGGCACTAGGCCCAAAAAGAAACAGCAGAGCAGGAGGGGAATCACATCTTGCATTTCCCCATTGACCCACGCACAGCAGGAAGACGGGAAAAAAAAAAAAAAAAAAAAAGCACTTTTCCCACATCTGCCTTCCACAAAGAAGTTCAGACTACCACTTTGGGATGGACCATCCCACAGGACAGAGGAGGCAGACAGCACTTGTTCCCAAGAGGATATTTAGGACAAAAGCTGCCTCCTTCTGCCCTGGAATTTTTGTCCTTTTACAGCTTGGATAGAGGATGAGGTTAAAATAGTGATACATACTACTGCAGGCTTGGAGAAAGATTGTTTCATATCCTAATAGAGACATGTAAAGCAATACGAGTCCTTTAGTTACTGATACTATTCTAAACAGGATTCTGTTTTATTATGAAATTATTAAGCTGTTTACTTTTAGAATTACTGCTAAAAGCTGGTAATTCTATAGAATAATGACATTTTGCATAATATTTTGCTCTGTCACTTCCATGGCAGAGATTTGAATAAAATTCCCCTCGGCCATGAAATTAACAGAGAATCACTTTATGTCTGATAAACAGTTCACAGCATCCAAAACAGAATGCTTGAATCAGATTATGTCTTCCATGAATGCTGATCCAAAGATGATCAAGAATTTGCATTCGTGAGTACAGTCTTAAGAACTAAAACCTGCCATTCTCAGTTCAGAGAAGCTGACACAGGGAGCAAATAAAGACAAGAAAGTATGCTTAGAAAAGCACCTTTTAAAGACCATTTTTTAAATAATAATGTATTTGCTTTGACTTTCCTTAACTTGTTGCAAGAGCTTTCCTGCAGCACCCGCACGTACGAAGGGTTTCATATTCCTGTAGCTCACCCTTGTTACCATTAGCCAAGCCAGCTCTGACCATGTGATGTGAACTTGGACTTGCTATATCAAAGTGTAGTGAACTTTAACTCCCTACTAGAATTTTTGGCCTATTAAAAACGTTACTAGCAGTTTCTAAACAAGACAAAGTTTAACGTGCTAGTGACTTCATAAATGTAAACCTCAGTGCGACCTCCACTGCGATTTAGGTCAGAGATCATCACCCATCTGGCCTCTGAATAAACTCTGATAACTTGTACTTGATAAAAAGAAAGTCTTCTCCCTCGCAGTCTGTTCTAGTGACTCATCATTCGCACTGGTAACAGTGTCCTCCGGTTTCAATCTCTAACAGGAAAGATGCTGTGCAAGGAGCAGGTATTCAAAGTTTTCTATAAACCAGTGCAACTGTCAAGGCCCCCACATAAACCACATTCCATTTATAGCTTTTCTTGGCAAAATCTGCTTTAAGAAAAATGTCCCAACCAGCCAAAATTGTATAAACTATAGTGCATGTAAAATTCCTCATGTTGCACAAACCGAGAAGTTTTCAGAGAGGAAAAAAACAAAAACAATAAGCAGAAAGCAGGGAAATAAATCCAGGCACAACTCAGTATGCTCAATTGTGATTAAAATAAATACCCAGTTTTCTTTCCCCTCTCTGCAGGGCATAGTATTTTTCAGAAGGGATGCTCTATCCTGTGACATAAGTTCACCATCATAATTTCAAGCCCTCTGCAAACTCTTTAGACCAGCAAGAAAATTGCAACCAGAGTACCTACACTTGAGCTGTAACCGGTGGAAAAAAAAAAAAAAAAAAAACGTTGGCAAGAAAGGCCAGCAAGTTTAATCTGTTATTGGGTAGTCCGCTTGTGAGTTTTAATAGCGGACTCTCTACCAATTAAAAGCAACCGAACAAGAGCTTTGACAAGCTCCGCTTTATCAGTCCTAAAGCTCATACGACTCTCGAGGGCTCGAAAGTTTCCGCACGGGTTTCTCTGTTTTTATTTGGCAGCCTTGATGTTTACGGGCGAACCTTCCTGCCGGCGCCCGGTGCCGCTGTCACCCCAGCGCGTCCCGCGGGCGCGGGCGGCAGCTCCCCGCCTTTCCACGACTCCTTCCCAACTCACCCCGGGGAGGAAGGGGGAAAGCGGCGAGGGAAGAGCCGCCCGCGGCCCCGCTGCCGCCCGGCGCCCGCCCCGCGCGGCGCTCACCTGCACGGCGCCCAGGATGGCCTCGCTCCTCTCCCTCACGTCGCGGAAGGGGCAGCGCTTGGA